ATAGTACCCTCTCTGAACTGTTTCCATTCATCCAGAATACATGTTCAACATTGAGATTATAGCGTCAAGGTACAAACTTGTATGAGAGTTATAAAAGTTATATAAAACTTTTTGATAGAAAATTCAGTGCATTTTCCTAATAAAAATGTTTTATTCAAAAAAATTTAAAATAATTTAAAACCCAAATCTTGACTTCTAAATGATATATTTTTAGTAAAAAATTTAATCTGATCCTCATTACTTTGTTTTAATTTTACGTGAAACAAATAGAGACACCTAGCGGTGAAATTTGGTACTAAAAACCAGTGTGCTATATAGCACTGTAAATTCTCTGCCCAATTATCCCCACCCTTCCCACCCTTATCTACATATCACACGGCTTTCTATATAATATAACATTGCTGCACTCTGCACATGCACACACACCTGGGCCACTCAATTCTTCAATATTTAAAAAACTCAAAACATATGTGTAAAAAGAGCGCAATTTTTACGCAATTTTAATGCTAACAAAGACAACTTAAATTCTTTTTAAAAGTTTATTTTTTCAATTTTTTTGGAAAATGCAATATATGCCGTATCGGGAATTTTAGATATTTCACAAATAATTTAGATTTAGAGTTTTAGGGAATTACACAAAATGAGCGTATTTTTACGCAATTTGTATACCTGAAATAAAATGATACACATCTCCACAAATTCATGATATTTTTACTTAAAGCTGGGTTATAAAATATTTTCTTTAGAAAAATTAGATATTTACACTAATTTGAAATCTAGTCTTACGCAAATTTGAGTTTTAATTGCGTAATTGGAGCCAAAATAATATGCCTTTACATTGCTTACGCAATTTGGATAGCTGGGCTGTGGTCACGTGATGTCCCACAACAAATTTGGGCCTGATCGGTTCAGCCGTTTTGACGTTTATTGGATACAAACAAACAGACAGACACCAAGACAAAAAACAGACAGACAAGACAAATTTATATATAGACTAGCCTTAGTAGGCGCATCTCGCCCATCTTCTAAATTAATTATGAACATGTTCTCTTTGTGTACATCGTAAAACAAAACAAAAATAATTTGCGAATTTTTACAAAAAATTCGTGGATTTTCAAAATTTTCAAAAATTTAATTAAGATTGAATTTTGATGGAGACAAATATTTGAAATTTTGATCATTCATAAACCTTCCCTGTGGTCTTGTGATGTCCCAAAAAAAATTTGGGCCTGATCGGTTCAGCCGTTTTGACGTTTATTGGATACAAACAAACAGATAAACAGACATACAAGCCAAATTTATATATAGATTAACTTATAAATACAAACAAATACTATACAATCAAATAGAAGTAGAAGCAAGGATCAATTTAGATTGAGAGAGTTTATTCCACTTCCACTTCTTTCTGAAAGGGTTCATCAACTAACTCTTATCCAGGGTATCAGTTGAGTTGCCAGGCTCAGCTCGGAATTCCCGGCTTTATCAAACTCCACCCAAATCTAGTAGAGTCAGGTAGAAGAATTGGGTTCTTGGCTTCGCATTATTCTATTTATAGCTCTGAACTTAGCGTCGTTCTATTAATAGACGATATTTACAGACAGGGTTTCTATTTTCTCCCTGAGCAGATGATCCCTAAAAGATCAAAAGATTGTACATCCGCTACATCACCCCCTTGATCTTTTACGATCAGCGATTTTGATAATCACTTTCTTACAAAAAGATGAGATGTTCGCACTTTTGAAGCGTCTTTATCCGTCTCTGTCCATGGTGTAGGGTTTAGCAGAGAACTAGCCGTCCTCTAATCCCGACTTATCATAACCGGTCTTGCTGAATCGAATCACTGTCTTAACTACCCAGCTAATGAAAGACAGAGCTGTAATTGCTCCGGCCCCAATCATAGCTAGGCTGAGGGTATACAAGGTTGGAGCTACTGTTTTTGTTAAGAAACAACCATAGCCACCCAGCAGACTCCACTCTGTCTCCTCCTCCCTAAACCTTTGCACAATGGAGCCCTGTGTGCAGTCTAGAGCCAGCTCTAGGAGGATGTCCTCCGGGTTGGCTTGCTCTGCCAGGACGTCAATCAGGCCCTCAAACAAAAGGTGGGTAGGTCCTTCTTCTCTGGTACTGACCGGCCTGTTCTCGTTCTTCACCATCAGGCTGACCAGCTTTCCCAAACTCTCTCCTCTCTTCATCTGAACAAAGATATCATTATTATGGTTAATCATGTAAATTGCAGGTGAATGTGAGACCCCCGCCAATGGAGAAAATTTTGAAGCAAAAACAGATTTTTTTCAACAATAGTGTTAAACAGGATTGGAAACAGGAAATCATTTTTGTTATTTTGCCAAGACCCTTCAACTAAATGCACCTCGGGATGGAGTGTCACAGATTTTTTCACTTTGCAATTTTTGAGTCTTGACCTGAAATAGTATTAATTCCTTCCTTCTCTTTTTGACTACTTTTCTCTGCTTCATCCTCCGTATCACTCCAACTACTTCTGCTTCCTGTTCATTCCTACTTCCTCCTGCTACTTTATATTAAGTCCTTATGCTACTTCTTACACTACTACTACTTTTGATACTCCCTGTCTGCACCCTTTCTTGGTCATGGGGACCAAGGGAGAAGACCAGGGAAACGAGCTGGGCTCTATGACTTCATTTTTGAGCCATAAATCAAGTCGTGTGCGCAAATTTTCTTTGAGAGAGGGGGGAATGGGCCTCATTCTTTGATTTACTGGTCGGGCATTAGGTAGTAATTCAATTCTAAACATTTCCCAGGAAGTTTTGCCCACTTTTCAGTCCTCAGTGGTAAAAATATCCTGATTATCATCTATCATTGAATACAACATCTGTCTAATGTTTGTATTTTCGTTCAAAATTAAATTCTCATTTAATTTCAAATCTGCCCATATTTTCTCTGTGACGGCAGGATCTTTTGCCCCTTGCTTTACTACATTCACTTTTGGTTTGGACTTTGACTCTAATAACATTGAACCCTGACCTATTAATTGATTGGGCGAAATAATTAGGTCTTTGTCACTTAAATTAACATACATAATACAAAGGGACTTATCTTTGCTCTGTGTCTTGTGTTTGTAGACTGCTGGCAGAGCACCATCAAGAAGTCCCTCTTTAAGTGGTTGTACATTAATCAGAGAAGCTGGGTTCACAGGCACTTTAACTTTTATTGCCTGTGACATCTTTTTAGGTATTTTTACAAAGTATTTTGATGATAAAAGCAGTACAGGGGCTCCTTTATCATCAATAGCAAAATCTTGAGGGGGGGAGGTTTATTTCTAACAGGGGGGGAGGGGGTATTTTTCAACAGGCCTTCTTATAGTTCTTGTATAAGGGTGGGAACGATCATATATCATTGCTATCAAATCCTTAGACTCCTGTGAAGGACTATGCACCAACAAACTCCCTGGGTCAATGTCCATTCTACCCGTGCTCTAGCCACCCAAAACTAGTAGTATCAGGTAGAAGAATTGGGTCCTTGGCTTCGCATTATTCTATTAATAGCTCTGAACTTAGCGTGATTCTATTAATAGACGAGATTTACAGACAGGGTTTCTATTTTCTCCCTGAGCAGATGATCGCTAAAAGATCAAAAGATCGTACCTCCGCTACAATATATTGCAGAGAAAATACAATTGACTTAGAAATTATATTAATGAATACATAATTTGTTTAGTTTAATGTTAATATTTTAATTTACTTTTCCTAGAGTTCCGGGTTTCCAGAAATCCCAGTAGAAACAAATAAGGTGGTTTAGTCATGCTATATATTTTGTGTTTGTTTCTTAAACAATATTGGTTAGTTGAAGTTAACAGAGAAATTACTATTGATTATTTGACATAGTTTACACCAAGTGCAGAAGGATCAGATGACAAAAATGACTCCTTCCAAAAAGAAAACTGTAAACTACAGTTTAAGAATTAAAAGGGCTGAAAACCCCTAAACCCAGTATTTCTAATTACCTCTGCATTCAAATCAATAAATGTTTAGATCCAGGTTTTGCAGGAATTATTTTTCATGAATACAAGAAGACTGATGAACACTGACATAAGTAAAAAGTTAAGTGTTTTTGATAAAAAGATTATTTCAAATATTTAATAAATATTCAATACTTACATTTTTGGTATGTAGGTAGGTATATAGGCAGTTAGGTAGAGGATAGTAAAGTGGGAGGGTGGGGAGGTAAATAGGGAAGTTTGTAGGTATTAGTTAGGGAGACAAGTAGGTAAGTAGGTATGTAGGTAGGTATATAAGTAGGTAGGGACTAGGAAGACATGGTATAGAGGGATTGAAAGCTATTCAAGATAGGTTATAGGTGTTGCTAAACAGATTGAAACTATTTAAATAATATATTTATTTAGGGTCAGTCCATATGAAATCAGCCACCTGTTGTGTAATTTATTTTATGGTTCTCAATTATTTGCTGAAGAATGTAGCTGGAGTGCGGTTTTGTAAATTGAGAGCAGTCCCTTAGCGTATTTTGTGAGTTTAGAACAATTCCATAAATAATTTGATTAAATTTGTGATTTGGATCTAAAAAAATAATATTCTTTGTTATTTTTTACATATTCTGTTTGTTTATTTACTGTTTGTTTATAACTTTAAACCGGTTTACACTAAAATCCGTGCAGTATCCTTGGTCATCTGGTCTCTCTACCAGGTTAGAAAGATTGTTCAAATTTGTATGCATTAAGTCAAATTGGTTAAAATTGTTATTCTGATTAATAATTTGGAATTCTATCATTTTGTTAGTTGGATTTTGTTTAAGAAATCGACGGGTCTGAGGTAGAATTTTATACTAAAAGGCTTTATTTAACCAGTGAAATCTTTGTTTTTGTTAGCTTAGTTTAAGCAGTGGTATATTTTGGTAATTCATTATTAATAAAAGCGCTGGTTTTGATCTTTTCTGAAACTTTTGATGAAAATATTTTCTTGTTCTTATTAAACTAAAACCTTATTTGAGCAGTGCATCTTATCACGCTTTATTTATTCTTATTTATCTTGCACTTAACATATTTTTTATTTAGCAGACATTCCAGTTCATTTCAGAGCATTACGGCTCATTTTGGTTTACAGCAGAGTCATTAAAGAAAACTTATTGCTCTCTTCCAGGCAAACTTATTGCTTAACACTCTGCTTTACAGTCTACTCAACCTTTGCTCTGCTCAACCCCCTATCAGCAAAACAAGTGAGGAGAAACTTTTATTCTCTGCCAAGTCATGCATAGAGCTAAATTGCTCAGTTTGGTTTAATTCCTCTAAAAACTATATATATTGGTCAAGAATATTGCTCCAATAAAGTAGATTATTGCTCCAATAAAGTAAAAGCAAACTTATTTTCATAAGCTAAGTTTAATTGCTAATTTAGTGTGTAATTGTATAACACACAATTATTGCTAACCAGCGGAGATAAATAGCATGCTCAATTTAAAAAAAGAAGAAATTGAATCGTTTGATTTTCATTTTGTGGTTTTTAATGTTTTCTGCAAAAACTGTGGAGTTAAATGCACAATTGTTCTCATCCGAAAACATTTTAAAACATTACATTTTTATTGAGAAACAAGTTTTTATTTAATAATATCAAAAAGTGGCTGATTTCAAATGGACTGAACCTCAAGGATTTGCCTTTGTAGCATTTATCAGAAATTTATAATTGACTAATTAAATTATTTATAATTGAAATTTTCCACAAACATTATTCAAGGATTATCAACGATTTTGCATGCACAGATTAAGCTGACTGAGTTTAAAGGAATCGAGGCTTTGCCACAATTTCTATATCTTTGCAACTCCATGTCGTAGACCTTAGTAATTTTAAACTTTGAATTCTGAGTGATAAAATTAAAAGTTTGAAATATCAAAGGCTTCTACTTTCAGGTTGCAAAGATATAAGGATTAGAAAATTTTATTTAGTGACAAAGTCTAAATTTATTTAAGATAGAATAATAAGATGAAATTGGATATTTTGCGTGCAAAGAAAATTTCCATATTATACCGTACAATGTTCGTACAATCTAAACCGTGTAGCTCTCAATATTGTCTGGTTTTCTTCATGAATCCTCTAAATTCTGAGCCTCCCAATATAGTTCAGTAGTTCTCCATCCTTCCAATCCAAACCTATCTATGTTCTCTATCTATATACTTTGCTTGTCTGTGTATTTGTTTGTCTGTTTGTTTCCAATTAACGTAAGCTAAAATTTGTTGAGACAAATTCACGTGACCCCAGGAAAGGTTTATAGCTTAAGTAAAATTTTAAAAATCCACGAAAAAATATTGTTAACTTTTTTGCTATTGTTTTACGTTGTACAAATAGTAGATGATTTCAAAAAGAGCCAGAATAAAAACTTGAAATAGGAGATGGGCGTGAAGCGCCCATAATGCCTGTGTCTTATATTAGGATTGAATTATAATGTAAAAAAATACAAAAACATAATAAGAAATAATATTTATAGTTTTCTTGGTATACTTTTACAAATGTATTGAAATTAGTTTATGGATGATGCGTATTTTCATTTCTAAATGCTTTCTGAAAAATTGTAATGTATTCCTTATGAAGACATCTAGCTGAGTTGAATCCTAATGTCTGTTTATTTAACATGTAATTGTCCAAACTATGATAAAACCTAATCTACCAATAATCTGAATGCTTTTAAATATTAAAGATAGAAGGATCCATTTGAGCTTCTAATTTTTACCATTTTTCAAAGAATTTGTGTTTTACAAAATAATCCTTTTTAAAGGGACTGTAAGCATGATTTCAATGATTAGATATCAATGATTTTGTTTCTTTAAACTATTTATTTTCCTTTCTCATTTTTATATCATTGACAGTTTGTATAAACAAAGTTAAAGTGAGATGTTTGACTTTGAATCCTTTAAAATCAGTTGTAATATTTTAGACTTTGTAAAATAACTTTTCTCATGGAATCTATCTTAAACTATACTGTTTATTCTTTTGTTAAGATATAAGTTTTTTTATTAATTTTATCATTTTTAAATACTAGATGAAGAGCCCGGTGTTGCCCGTGGAACATTTTTTTTAATTTAAAAAGTAAATGAAAAAAATATTTGAAAAAAAATATGAATTTTTAAGCATATATTACCCCCTGGCCACTCCTAGTGTCCAAAAAAAATTCAGCCCAATCGGTCCAGCCGTTTGGCCGGCTATAGGCATTATTATATATATATACGAATGTCTTTTTATTACTAGAAATTCAAGGCGCTTCGCGCCCTTCTTTCTAGCCTTAGAGGGCGCTTCGCGCCCATCTTCTACATTAGTTGTGAACATGTTCTCTTTGTGTACATCGTAAAACAAAACAAAAATAATTCGCGGATTTTTAACAAAAAATTTCGCGGATTTTCAAAATTTTTTAAAATTTAATGACGATCGAATTTTGAAAGAGACAAATATTTGAAATTTTGATTTTTCATAAACCTTCCCTGGGGTCCCTAGATGTCCCACAAAAAATTTGGGCCCGATCGGTTCAGCCGTTTAGACGTTTATTGGATACAAACAGACAGACAAACAAACAAACAGACAAGCCAAATTTATATATAGATATAGATATCTATGATATTTATATTTTCAATCTGCTTCAAAGTTTTGATTTGGCATAAAGGTTAATTATTATTGTTATAAGTTGGTTAATTCAGAAGGAATCAAAAGTTTAAAACTCCAGATTTTTTTTCATAAATTTATAAATTACAGGGGTAAAAAGTTCCAAACTGATGTGCAAAGTTATCTTTTTTAACTTTTAATGTTTTTCAATTTAATTTTTGCAATTTTTGCAATCCAATGTCGTAGACCTTAGATATTGCAAACTATGCATTCTGTTAGATGATGTATTTATATGTAAATATAGAATTAATGGTCTAGTTCTAATAATATACAAGAATATACATAGAACATATTGTAAATGTATTCATATGTAAATATAGAATTAATGGCCAAGTTCTAATAATATACAAGAATATACATAGAACATATTGTAAATGTATGAATATGTAAATATAGAATTAATGGCCCAGTTCTAATAATATACAAGAATATACATAGAACATATTGTAAATTTATGAATATGTAAATATAGAATTAATGGCCCAGTTCTAATAATATACAAGAATATACATAGATCATATTGTAAATGTATTTATATGTAAATACAGAATTAATGGTAAATATTATATTATATTACTCTACATATTATGGCGCCTAACCTTAATAAACTAAAAATACACGTTGTTGACAAAACACTGATCTACCTCTACAAAGGGATGTGATGTTACTTAACTGTCCCTTGAGATAGTTAAGAAAAAATTTTCTTTTCTTTGGTTTTTTCTTTATCTTACCTTTTTCACGTTTTGGATGCTAGTAAGCAAACAGGCAACCAGACAGAGAGATAGATAGATAAAATATATTGATAGATATAAGAGATCAATCTTAAAGGGACCGTTCACTTGTTTGGGCAATTTCAGGGTAAACTAAACAGCCTAAGCGCTATTCATTGGTAATAGTCTTACTTTTCAAAGACATCTGTGGCCGGAGAAAAAGCCGATTTTTCGTTCAGAATTTGAGCGCAAAGGGACGGTCCCTCTCTATACACACTATTTGATGTTTTTTTCAGTAACACTATTACCAATGAATAGCGCTTAGGCTGTTTAGTTTACCCTGAAATTACCCAAACAAGTGAACGGTCCCTTTAAATTACATCTATGAAAATTTATTAAATAAATCTGCAAGGAAATGGAGAATTTTATATTCTTGATGACGTCATTCCTCTCTCTTGTTTTTTTTATATAAAAGAACTTTACTCTTTCAGAAAACCAATATTGTAAATTGGTAAAAAATACATTTTTATTCTTTATCTTGAAACTGATTTTTCAAATATTTTTTATCTAGTAAATAAATATACTAACTTTGTACAAACATAAAAAAAATCCTTTATCTTAAAATAAACTTCTTCTTCTGTTTCATTATTGTAAAGTCATACAATTGTAAAAATGATCATGCTGTAAAAATAAATATTTCTTTAATACTATTATATTTTAATACTATTATATTTTTTTTAATATTATTTTATTTTAGTAATAAAGAATTTATTGCTGTGATAGCAATAGAAACAGAAAATCACGGAAACATTTTTTAATTTTAAAATCAAATAATCTTAGAATTAAATGCAAGAAATATTGAAATTTTAAGAAAAATGTCGACTCATGGGAATAGACCATCCTACCTCTTCTCCTCATTCTCTAAAATTTCTAAGGATAATGTTAGATCTTCTTATTCCAGGTATTAGAACTCGGTATTGAAAAAAGCAAAACTGTTTTTAATTTCTAATATTTGACCGGATACCCGCATACTTATGTGTAAAATCAAACCTACAGATTTCAAGGTCACAAAGTTGTACCAGCAATATCGCATAAATTAAAAGTTCTCCTGCTTTCTAGTTTGTAGTGGGAATCCTCTGATTCAATGTATTCAAAATCATTTTTCAGTATTTTTGTCTGATTCAATAAAAGATTTTTTTATAATAAGTCGTTTACGTTTACGTTTACGTTTACGTTTGTGAAAAATAATATCTTGCATTTGCAAACACCTAATTCAAACCCTTTCTTAGATTTAAAAAGATTAGGGAAAAAGTTCATACAAATTATTTGTTTCTTACTTATTGAAAAAATATCTCTAAAACCCTTATTTTTGAACATCTCTTAATTCCAGGAATTATTTTCATCCGACTACTCTAATTGCAGGAATCCTATTCCACAAACTACTCTAATTCCAGGAATCCCATTCCATAAGCTACTCTAATTCCAGGAGTTCTATTCCACAATATACTCCAATTCCAGGAATCTTATTCCATAAACTACTCTAATTCCAGGAATCTTATTCCATAAATATTAAATACTCTAATTCCAGGAATCCTATTCCATAAACTACTCTAATATCAGGAATCCTATTCCATAAACTACTCTAATTCCAGGAATCCTATTCCATAAACTACTCTAATATCAGGAATCCTATTCTCTAATTCCAGGAATCCTATTCCATAAACTACTCTAATATCAGGAATCCTATTCCACAAACTACTCTAATTCCAGGAATCCTATTCCATAAACTACTCTAATTCCAGGAATCCTATTTCATAAACTACTCTAATTCCAGGAATTATATTCCGTAAACTACTTTAATTCCAGGAGTTCTATTTCACAAACTAATCTAAGGAAACAGAACTGGACTCAAAACAAAGGTAATAGAAGAAAACTTTAAATCTCTTAAAGAGAAATCTTTGCTTGAAACTTTTTAGAGTTTTAGTAAAGAAGAAATAATGTTTTTTAAATTTCTCAGAGATTCCATTTAGAAAATTAGAAAATAGTAAAATCCTTCTCAAATATTGAATATTTTCAATATTTATTTATTCATTCTCAAACTTGTAATTTGGAAAATCCTAGGAATGAATTACAATATTACAATTGTTTCTATTCTCTCAGGTTCAGCCTTCAACCTTGAATCTTCTAATTCTACAATATTAAACCCTCTACTCACAACAACACAATCGAACAACATTCAGAGGAGCAACAGCTACCTTAGGAGTAGAACTATCCACAGGAGTAGAAACAACAGCAACAACCAGATAAATACTGCCAGTAACTACAGTTTAACAGATAGTAAGTACAATTTGACAGTCAGCAACTACAGTTTAACAGCTAACAGTACAGATGAGCTGATGAAACGTCTCAGGTGAATAATAATAATAGAAATATATTTTACCTCCTGAATTCTTTGCAATACATAATTCCAGGACTTTTCACAGGACTTTTTTGGTGATAGTAATTAAGTCTTTTTACCAAATATATAATTTCCTTGTGACTTTTGATGGATGTTACCTAATGGAGTGGTCAGATCACATTTTAATTTCTTTACTATAACTAGGATTTTCTATTTCAATTTTGAACATTTTTTCTTTGTGTACTTTGTGAAAAAAAAATAAAAAAGGTCATGGTTCTTATAAAAAAAAATCGTGGATTTTTAGAATTTAATGAAAACGAATTTTGTTGGAGGCTAAATTTCTAAATTTGGATTATCCATAAACCTTCCCTGGGGTCACATAGGTCCCTCAAAATATTTGGGCATGATCGGTTCAGCCGTTTTGACTTTTATTGGACACAAACAAACAAACAAACAGACAAATATAAATATAGAATAAAGATTTAGATATTTTATAAACCACGTTTCTGTGGAAATTATAATTTTGTAAATAAGGTTCTAAGTATAATTATGTAAACAAAATATGTTAATATTAACCCTATTCCAATTCCAAATTGACCCCCCCCCTGTAGTTTTTTTTAAATAACTCAAAAAGTATTGGTCTGAGGCTGTTGAAATTTTCTGACTTTTCCTACATACCCAAAGCCCTCCCTTTAGGCCTAAAACCGGGCTTTAATACAAACTGCCTGTAAATATAAACATATTCTTAATATATAAAGTTTATATAAGTATATAAAAAAGAACAATGCCTACCACTGTATCATGATATATGAGTATAGTATTTAATTATAAATTATAAGTTTAGATAATCCTATATAACCTGTATTTAATAGATTGTTGAAAGCAGGTTTAAACTTGAATATAAACATCATCTATTTTCTTGAGCAATCTTCCTTTATGCACTAAGAATCCCGTCTTGAGAATGAGAAAATATTTAAATGAAAAATTCAATATTCTCATACTTAAGGAAATGAATTATTGCCATAAACTTTAATCTATTTATTCCTTTATCTTTGCAACCTGATGTTGTAAGCCTTAGAATTATAAACCATATAGTCTAATAGATCAAATAGTCTAAGTTTGTAATATCTATGGTTTTCATCAACAGCAAAGGAAAATTAGAAAATTTGAGTTTGTAGCAAAAACTCAATTTCTTTAAAGCTCTTATAAACGTACAAACCTAAATTACACAAATTATTTAAACAAGAATTAATGAAGATGATGAGGGAAGTGGGTGGGTATTGTTAATTGAGGGTTATATCAGCTATTTAAGGAAAGAAGTAAAGTCAATATTTAAAAATATCAAAAACCTTTCTTCTGTTCATTCCTCCAATTTAGTTTAGGACATTGTAAAAGGATTCTTATTATTTTCTTAATTTATCTAAAAACTTCCTTGGTAAACCTTTGAATATCCATGTTCATTATTCAAATGCTAGCTTAAGAATTTTGATAAATTAAGAAACATTTTTTAGAAATGCTCAGTAAAAGAATTATAGTGTGTTATTTCTTTGAATGATATTTAATTGTAATCAAACTCTTATATTGTTTTTTATTAATAAATAATGGTTTTGAAGTTTACGCAAATTATTTTGTAACCAAATAATGAGTTTTCAGTAAACTCAAATAAATAGAATGTTAAATAATTGTTGAAATCCATTTTAGAGATAAATTTATAGGTTTGAATTTTACAAATAGGAGCAATCATAAAGGAATTGAGTCTTTGTAACAAAATCAAATATTTAAACCTTAATATCTTTAGAACTCAATGTTGTAAACCTTTGATATTTCAAACTCAGATTAATTGATCTAACAGAACTCATAGTTTGAAATATCTAAGGTCTGCAACATTTGGTTCCAAAGATATAATGATTAGAAAATCAGAGTTTGTGGCAAAGACTCAATTCCTTAAAGTCAGAACCCAACATTTTCCTAATCGTTTTTATGTTAAGGTTTAAATACATGAATAAACAGTGTAATAAGACATTTTAAATAACTGTGATTTGTTTTAAATATGAACGATTTGTCATTAACTTCAATAAAATGGCACAAATGTGTTAATTTAAAATGTTGTTATTGCATATACGGTATTATTTATGAACTAAACTGGTTCTTGATGTAACAACAATTATTAACCGAGTATTTAACTTTTATTCAAAATATTAAAGAAGACTATATTTTCAGTTCTGAACCTGGAACAACTCCCTTCCCTCCTCTAAACCTTAGAGGAGTCCCTCAACCTCAAGTACATTTAGCAGACGGACTTATCATAGCATTTATGTTCTCATTGTGGGGGTACTCCATCTACCTGACATACAGGTACTCCATATACCTGACATACAGGTACTCCATATACCAGACATACAGGTACTCCATATGTCTGACATACATGTAGTCAATCTACCTGAGATACAGGTACTCCATCTACCGAATATAAAGGTACTCTGTATAAAATTGTGTAAGTTTATAACCTAACAATTCCAACCTGGAAGTCCATACTATCGAATGACTCCCATTCTTTTCTGAAATACAAAAATGTTTAATATTACTTTTTACTACGCCGATCGGTATGGAAGTGAGCTTTTTAGGCCTCAGAACTCCAAATACCTGACATACAGGTACTCCAACTACCTGACATACAGGTACTCCGTCTACCTGGCCTACAGGTACTCCATCTACCTGACATATATGTACTCCATATACCTGACATACAGGTACTCCATCTACCTGACATGCAGGTACTCCATATACCTAACATACATGTACTTCATTTACCTGACATACAGTTACCCCATCTACCTGACATAAAGGTACTCCATATACCTAACATACATGTGCTCCATTTACCTGACATACAGGTACTCCATCTACCTGACATATAGGTACTCCATCTACATGAAATACATGTACTCCATCTACCTGACATACAAGTACTCCATATATCTGACATACAGGTAGTCCATATCCCTGACATACAGGTACTCGATCTACTTGACAAACAGTTACTCCGTCTACCTGACATACAGGTACTCCATCTACCTGACATAAAGGTACTCCATCTACCTAACATACAGGTACTCCATATACCTGCCATACAGGTGCGCCATCTACCTGACATACAGATAATCTTTATTTAGACCAATTTAGTTCAATATATTTTACAATTTCATTTCTTGGTATTGGTAAAACCCTCTGAGTTCATTTTATTTCCAACATAAAATATTGAATTTAAAGTCTATCATGAAACCGTGGTTTTTATTTTAAATTCTACAGGAAGAAACTAAACTTGATATTTTTGATCAAGGATATGAAGTTTTACAGGAAATATTGTCGAATTACAAAACTGTAATATTACATTACGTTCTTACCAATCATTGTATCAACCAGAATGGAAACTATCATGTTGGATTATTTGTAGTTCAAAAATTAAATAATATTGTACAATAGATCAAAATAAACTTTAACGTAATTATATTCAAATTCTGAATGTGAAATAAAAAGCCCAAAATATGAATCTCCAGTACAGTTTTATTCCTAGATATATTATATTCCATATTGTTTTAGAGTTTAAAGAAATACTTGCACAGAGTGGATATTATCAGAGTAATCTATCAACACAATTCTTGACATTGTAATTTGTCAAGATAACACAAAATAATATTAAGAATCTTGATATTATCAGAATAATCTAATAATACAATTCTTGACATTGTAATTTGTCAAGATATCAAAAAATTATATTGAAAATCTTGCAAACAAATCAAGAGAAGAATAGTGAGTTATAAAATTCATCTCAGCATTAAAATTTTTCATTTTTCTGTCTTCTTGAAACAATTTTAAACCAAAATTTCTATTATTTAACAACATTCTGAATAATAAAGTCTTAATTTTCTTGTTTTTTTAGAGCTTGGCATAAGACCATGGCTGATTCTGGAGATTGGAATGATGGAAAGGGGATGTGGAAGTAATGTACTTTTATTTTTTATTTATTTTCTATTTTTATACCATTTAAATTAGAAGGAGTCCTATTTTTAAATTCATATTTATACCAAGTATATTTATTTTTTAATCTCTCTTTAAAAAAATCAAGAATTTTTATTTTATAAAATCAAGTGAAAACATTCTTTTTAAGAATCTTGTTGATTGTCTTTAAAACTTTTCTAATCTACAAACAAAAAACAATATGTACAGCCCTGCATTCAAGTTGGTCAGCTAGTTTATTAAATAATGTAAAAATCAAGGAATAAAGTGGGGAAACTATCTGTATTGATTAAATTATCTAGCAATGCTGATCAAAAAATACATTATCTCAATCAAGAAGCCAACTTGTACCTTGCTAACTTTACACCACAGAGAATTCAATTGTCTTGGAAAATTTAATATAAAAGAAATACTTGTGCAAGTATAAGACAAGATTCAGACTTTAATATCACATTCTTGCAACAGAATAGATAATGCAGAAAATATTTCTAATTGGAAAATTTGCATTTTTAGATTTATCATGGAGGTTGTGAGAAACAAGAAGAAACCAACATCTTCAAGATCCAGTAGAACAGATCAAGATATTGAGATCCTGGCCAAGGAGGAGGGTGAGTTAATCCACCTCCAGGTGGAGGAGGAGGAGGAGGAGGAGACAACAAAACAATTTATTGAAGAAAGAGATAAAGATATAAAGGATGTTAAAATGTTTAGAACTGAAAATGAAACCAAAATCAATCATTTACAAAATAAAACCATTCTAAACCCTGATGATAATATTCCTAACCTTCAACCCTATAAACCAACTGATCAATGGACCAGGAGAGAAAACTTCCATCAAAGATTGCAAAGACATGAAACCTCAATCCTGGTTCAGCATAGGCATCAGAAAATCCAGGTGTGCAGATCAAAGGAAGATTATGAATACAAGAGCAAAAGACAGGAAGAAGATGAGAAACTGATTCAAAGAATTGAAGAAGAAGAAAGATTGCTTAGACTCAGAGAAAATGAAGAAAATAAATTCCGCAGAAGAGAGGATGAAGAAATCCATGAACTAATGAATGAAATCAATCAATCAAATGAGAATGAAGATGGTAGTCTAGTGATGCATGGGAATGAGCTTGAGTTGCTGATAAGGTTGAGGAGTGAAGAGGATATGAAGATGCTATTGCACCAGGAGAGTCAATATTTAGATCATAATCTTGGAATCAACAGATAATCATAAAATTATTCAGAGGCTTAAACTTTTGACTTGGTTACATCTTATCCACATCGGCTGAACTCGATATCCTAAATCAATATCTATTACGTTTAAATTGAAGTTTTTTTCTGGGCATTCACAATATATCCACCATGTGATAGGTAAGAGTTAATCCAAATAGAGAAGGGGTTGCCGTTTCCCAGTAGATTGGAGTTCCGGAATTATAACATACTATAAACACAATTAGGATACAATAGATATTTCATTGATTTAAATGTTTACAACTAATCATAAACGAAAGTGTGAATTCTAAGAGATTGTAGGATTGGACAGAGTTTAGATTCCTCAATCCCTACTATAAAATAATCATTTAGATCATTTTTCTGGATGAACAGTTCCTGCTTCGTACAGTATGCCCTGATTAAACTAGTTTCATACAACCTATTTTGAACAGATTTAGAATATTTTAAACCTTAAAAACTAAATTTTTGTCTCTAAACCTAAATCTAAGATCCAGATTTTATAAATATTGAGTTCAGGAGAGAATAGAAGAGTTGAATATTCTTCAACAGTTTAGAAGACGGGAAGCACTGGAGTCAAGTTATGCATGGATAAACAGGGATACAAAGATGGATCATGTTTTCAGTTTATATTTTACTCTTTTAGTTTTTAGATTAGAACTTCAACTCTTAGTTTATTTGTTTCTGATTTGTCAGATATTCTTGGTCATTGATATTCTAACCTCCATCTGTATCTCCAGGGAGGATGTGAGATATAAACGTTCTATTTCTGAGTTTAGAAGAGACTGTGATGATTGGAGAGTAGGGATAGATGAGGAGGCGTATATTGAACTCCAGGTATTTTATATTTAGTGAATATATTACAGTCTAGTTTATGATATTGAACTCCAGGTATATACATATTTAGTAAATATATTACAGTCTAGTTTATGATATTGAACTCCAGGTATATATTCATATTTAGTAAATATATTACAGTCTAGTTTAAAATATTGAACTCCAGGTATATTTATATTTAGAGGATATATTACAGTCTAGTTTAAAATATTAAACTCCAGGTATATTTATATTTAGAGAATATATTACAGTCTAGTTTATAATATTGAACTCCAGGTATATATTCATATCTAGAGGATATATTACAGTCTAGTTTATAATATTGAACTCCAGGTATATACATATATAGAGGATATATTACAGTCTAGTTTATAATATTGAACTCCAGGTAGAGGATATATTACAGTCTAGTTTATAATATTGAACTCCAGGTATATTCATATTTAGTAAATATATTACAGTCTAGTTTAAAATATTGAACTCCAGGTATATTTATATTTAGATGATATATTACAGTCTAGTTTATAATATTGAACTCCAGGTATATTTATATTTAGAGGATATATTACAGTCTAGTTTAAAATATTGAACTCCAGGTATATTTATATTTAGAGAATATATTACAGTCTAGTTTATAATATTGAACTCCAGGTATATTTATATTTAGAGGATATATTACAGTCTAGTTTATAATATAGAACTCCAGGTATATATTCATATTTAGAGGATATATTACAGTCTAGTTTATAATATTGAACTCCCGGTGTATTTATATTTGGTAAATATATTACAATCTAGTTTATAATATTGAACTCCAGGTATATTAATATTTAGAGGATATATTACAGTCTAGTTTATAATATTGAACTCCAGGTATATTCATATTTAGAGGATAAATTACAGTCTAGTTTATAATATTGAACTCCCGGTATATTTATATTTGGTAAATATATTACAGTCTTGTGAAAAATATTGGAATTTCAACTATTTTCAATCAGAATAATATTCATGACACATCTTAGAATATTTGAAAACTTTTCAAACTTTGAATGAATACAAAATATTTAATAAATCTCATGTGATATAGTATGAGTTGGTTTTCAAAATAATAGCTGCTTACATCACTATGCTTGCTATATCCCTACAAAGAAAATAATATTTTATTTAAAACCAATTACTGAATCATCAAATTTAATATTTCTACATCCAATACACTTTCAATTGTAACACAAAAAGTTAAAAAATTTGCAAAGTAAGGAAAAATAAGCCGAGACACTAAACTTTAAAACTTGAAACTTTTTACATAATTTATCTAAAATAGGAAAATCTAGGAAATAAACTATTTATGTCTAGGCACGCAAACTGATCATCTTTTCTAAAAATGCTGCTTCATAATTTTTTTATTTTCAGAACCTGGATATTTTGGATGACAGTGGATATCAGATTATTTAATGGATAAACATCATGAGTGGATATTATTCCTCTGTAATAAATGGTCTGAAATATGGATACAAACCTTCCAATAGAATACAAGATTGGATATCATACCTGTAATATATTGAGTCAATTGTGGATACAAAACTTCCAATAGAATAAAACCTTGGATATCAGAGCATTAATAGATTACAAAGATACCGTTTCTGTAATAAATTGAGTGTATTCTGGAATTATTGATAAAATGAATGGATATTGTACAGTACAAAACTTTTGAAGAAATTATACAAAAGCAAAGAGTTTAGGCACAAAATCATTATATGTTTGCTGTGCAAATATTTGAGAAATTGTAAATGATTGTGTACACTGTACACTGTGCATATCTTTTGAATTGTACATTTTTTGACACAAAATTCAAATTGTCCCCATATGTTCGCAACCTGATATTTCAAATTTAGATTATTTGATCTGAGAGAAATTATAGTTTGAAATATTTTAGGCCTACGACATTGTGTTGCAAAGATGTAGGGATGTAGAGTTTGTGGCAAAGACTCAATTCCTTTCCTTAATAGATGTTGATTTCGTGAAATCTGAACTATCTATACCTTCTAATTTTTTAATCCCCCTGGATAAAAAGATTTAGAAAAAATAAAAATCACTTATTTCTTGCTTTTGTTTTAAAGAAATATTTGCCAAAATTCTGTATTTATAAAAATTTTCAGAATGTGGATATTTCTCAGTGTTCCCCTAATTACCAATGTAAATTATTTGTGATAAATGTACTGTAAGATATTAGAAATATTTTATATAATAAAATTTATTTTTATAAATATCAAGTTCTTATGAACAAAATTGTTAGGTTACTTGACAAAAAATCTATTTATACATTTTTTGCAGGACCTCGGACGACCCAAAGAAAGATTCATGGATTGTTGAAATATTGTAAAAGGAATTGAGTCTTTGCCACAAACTCTGATTTTCTAATCCCAATATCTTTATAACCCAATGTCTTAAACCTTTGATATTTCAAACTTATATTATTTGATCTAACAAAAGCCATAGTTTGAAATGTCTAAGGTTTACGACGTTGGAATCCAAAGATATAGGGATTAGAAAATCAGAGTTTGTTGCAAAGACTCAATTCCTTTGCCTTAAAATTAAATTTTTTTCGGTTATCAAGTTGTTATATATTTCTCATAAACCCATAGTTTTTATGAATAAAATTGTTAGGTTTTCTTGTTACTTGTCAAAAAATCTATTCTTACATTTTTTGCAGGACCTCGGACGACCCAATGGAAGTTTCATTGATTTTTGAAATATTGTTAAATTTGCCTTAAAATTCAATTTTTTTCGGAAATGTATTTAAAAAAATCTGCAAAATCTTATTATCTATTTAAAAACTTGCCTTGTCTTTAAACTTGTACAAAGGAAAAATGGTTGCAAGGAAAACTATTTATAGAAAAAATTTGCTAGGCTCTCGGGAAGCCCAACATAATTTATTCTACCCTATTTACAGAATAATGGAAGATTATTGAAAATATCTATTTTTAGAATAAGTCTGTAGACGCAATATATCTTGTATGGATCAGTCATGTATTTGATGGGAAAATGATGTATTGGCCATTAGAAAACAAAGAATATAGAAATAAATGGGTATTGCAAGGAATAAATTGACTAAATTTGGATTTTTAGTTATGCAAGTACAAGAATTAGACTTGTACTTAGCTCAACGTACACAAATATTCCTACTTTGTACTAGTCTTACTCTAAATAGTACACTAGTTCCTTCCTTTACTTCAATTACACTTAGGGTACACTTATTATACATATATATCTATTGTATTCTTTGCTTCTTTTTCATTCTATAACACATAGTGTTGGTTTTGGATTTGGTTTAGCTCAGGGCATGTAAATATACACAGAGGTTTGGTTTAGCTCAAGGTATGTAAATGTACACACAGAGGTTTGGTTTAGCTCAGAGTATGTAAATATATACAGAGGTTTGGTTTAGCTCAGGGTATGTAAATATACACTGAGGCTTTGTTTAGCTCAGGATATGTAAATTTATAAAGTCGCCAAGATCTATTTAGATAGTTATGCAAATTATATCTGTAAAAAAAAAAATTTAAACTAGGCTTTATGATGATAAAGCCTTCTTTTAAAAATGGCACATTTACAAATTACATTAAGTCATCTAGCTCAAAACTTTGTATATGTATTGTGAGAAAACATTTGCAATCTTTGAACCTTTTTAATTTTTTTTCAGGGCTATGATAATTTTTCAGAGATCATCTATAAAATATTTGGGATAAATGTAATCCCTACTAAAAAGGTTTAAAGTTAATCTCTGAGAAACCCCATCTTTTATTATGAAACCACTGTGATCTAGGGAAGAAAAAGCTAATGTATGTGCAAAGTTTAAATTAGTTTCTCATTAAACAAAAACTTTAAATCGATTTATTTTTTTAATGAGTTTTCGTGTCAGTCCAAATACGGAAAGAAACATGTTAAACTTAAAGTTTAACCTATCCCACTCATTTCCAAGCTATCTAATCTTGTGTACTTAAAGCTTAAATAAGTTAGTTAATTGCCTCAAACTTTATTGTTCTCATCCCTATCTTTTTGCAACCTGGTGCTATAAACTTTAATATTCTCAATTTTGACATTATTATCATAACAGAATTTTTAGTTTAAATATGTATGGTCTTCGAAATCAGATTGGAAAGATATAAGTATAGAAAATAGTTTCCATTTTAAATCTTTTATTATTCTCATTTCTATGAAAAAAAACATTTTCCTTGAGAAGAAAAATAAAATACAACTTTTTATTTCAAACTGAACTGCTAAGGAAGTATTTTAGGAAATGAAAAGAATTAAAGATTTTAAATATATTTTTTGGTAGACTAGGTACTGGCTCAGGTTTATATATAGGTTTATATATACATGATTTATACATAGGTTTATATATAAAGGTTTATATATAGGTTTATATATAGATTATATATAGGTTTATCAATAGGTTTATATATAGGTTAATAAATAGGTTTATATAGGTTTATATATAGGTTTATAAATAGGTTTATATATAGGTTATATATAGGTTTATATATAGGTTAAATATAGGTTTATAAATAGGTTTATATATAGGTTTATATTTACATATGTTTATATATAAGTTTACTAGGCTATTAGGGTGCTTCACGGTTCCATTTCCATTGTGAACATGTTCTCTTTGTGTACATTGTAAAACAAAACAAAAAAGTTTGCGGATTTTATAAAAAATTTCGTGTATTTTTCAAAATTTTCAAAAAATGAATTTTGATGGAGGCAAATTTTTGAAAATTCGATCATCCACAAACCTTCCCTGGGGTCAAGCAAGGTTCAACAAAAAATTTGGGCCCGATAGGTTCAGCCGTTTTGACGTTTATTTGATGCAGCGAAAAGACAGACAAACAAACAAACACCCAAACAGACAAACAAGCAAATGTAGCAAAACTTCGGGTTTATATAAAGGTTTATATATAGGTTTATATATAGGTTTATATATAGGTTTATATATAAGTTTATATATAGGTTTATATATAGGTTTATATATAGGTTTATATATAAGTTTATATATAGGTTTATATATAGGTTTATATATAAGTTTATATATAGGTTTATATATAGATGTGTAAATAGGTTTATATATATAGGTTTATTGATTAGACACTGGTTCAGGTTTATAAACAGGTTTATATTTCCTCCTACCTCCTACCTCCTACCTCCTACCTTCTACCTCCTACCTCCTACCTCCTATAAATTTACAGTTTTGAAGAATGAAAACATGAACAGTTGCTTCTTAGGCAGTAAAAGACCAAGTCATGTTCTAACTGTACATAAGAACAGACATAACTTTATATTTATATATATTTTCAATTTATCATACTGTAAACATTGTTTTAACAAGACTGAACACGTTTATATACAGTGAACCTCCATTGTTGAAGACGCATGTCCTATTCACAACAGTAACCTTTAAACCATTATTTTTACCGAGTGTTTTTACGAAAAATTTCTTCTAAACTCTAGTTTATCCAATCTTGTATCTTTTTACAAAACCTAGAATTTCTCAACAATATATTTTCATAACATTACAATTGTCTTTGTAGAGGTATAGATATATCATAATAAAAATTATGTATGTATTATATAATAAAAAATACATGTGAGTTTACTGTATAATGCTTGTATACATATACAAGTATTATATTCCACTCCAGCTGTTAATACCATTATACAAGGCAAACTATTTTATAGTCTAGACAGATATATACAAATACATGTGAGTTTACTGTATAATACTTGTATACAATATATACAAGTGTATTATATTCCACTCCAGCTGTTAATACCATTATACAAGGCAAACTATTTTATAGTCTAGACAGATAAATACAAATACATGTGAGTTTACTGTAAAATACTTGTATACACATATACTAGTGTATTATATTTCAGTTCAGATTAATACCATTATACAAGGCAAACTATTTTATAGTCTAGACAGATAAATACAAATCCAAATTATTATATATGCTGCATTATAATATTTGATACTAGCTGAAGGGCCCGCGGTGTTGCCCGTGGACATTTTTTGTTGTTGATTTTTTTTAACATCGGTCCCCCCAGGCTACCCATGAGTGTCCACAAACAAAATACAGCCCATTCGGTCCAGCCATTTAGCCGGCTATAGGGAACATATATGCCTATGTCTTGTTTTATTATATTGATGCAGGGTAAAAACTGAATATTTAAATGAATCTTGAGGAAAATGTTTTAAATGATTTTCAAACAAATAATAGGTCCCAGGCTAGGCAAATTCAACAAATTTTAAGATATTTCAGAAATAATGAATTCAATCTACGATGAAGGTTTACAGGATATCCTTGATTGGATTGGAGTAGAAGACTTGGAGATCAGAAGTTTACTCCAGGTATAATATAGTACTGCAGGATCAGGAGTGCACTCCAGGTATAACATAGTGCCGTATGATCAGTAGTATACTCCAGGTATAAGATATAGTACTGCAGGATCAGGAGTTTACTCCAGGTAAAAGATAGTACTGCAGGATCAGTAGTATACTCCAGGTATAAGATATAATAGTGCTGGATCGGGAGTATGCTCCAGGTATACGATAGTACTGCAGGATCAGGAGTATACTCCAGGTATAAGATATAGTACTGCATGATCAGGAGTATACTCCAGGTATAAGATATAGTACTGCAGGATCAGAAGTTTACTCGAGGTATAAGATATAGTACTGCAGGATCAGAAGTTTACTCGAGGTATAAGATATAGTACTGCAGGATCAGGAGTATACTCCAGGTATAAGATAGTACTGCAGGATCAGGTGTTTACTCCAGGAATGAGATATAAAACTGCAGGATCAGGTGTTAACTCCAGGTATAATATAGTACTACATGATCAGGAGTATACTCCAGGTATAAGATATAGTACTGCAGGATCAGAAGTTTACTCGAGGTATAAGATATAGTACTGCATGATCAGGAGTTTACTCGAGGTATAAGATATAGTACTGCATGATCAGGAGTATACTCCAGGTATAATATAGTACTGCAGGATCAGGAGTATACTCCAGGTATAAGATAGTACTGCAGGATCAGGTGTTTACTCCAGGAATGAGAAATAAAACTGCAGAATCTAATTATTTATTATAATTTTGTGTCTCTAGGGTTCAGAGGAGATCTGGAGAGAAGTTGGAAGAGAGGATTGTGGTTCAACATTCTCAGGTAATTTTCAGAGAATAAAATCCCACAGTGCAGAGTAGAGAATATATTGTACACTCTAGACAAACAAATTAAATGTTTCGTCAGTAAAAGTTGTAAATATTTGATCAATTTAGTTCCAACTATAATTCTATGGATACTTTTTATTTTATCCAAAAATTAAGGATTATATATTACAAAGATCCAAACTGCTATGAAAAGTTTACCTCACAAACTTACTTTTTTGTAGCTCTAGGCATGTGAACATTTTACAACTCTGGGGCATTTCTTTAAAACTTTAGTTAAAACATTAAAACATACAACATAAATTTATGATTTTAGTCTATTTTTAAAGATGTTGTATTTCGTATCCTAGTGATCCTTAAAATATCCCTGAAGATACATGTTTTCTAATTGGTCGCGTACTCCAGTTGTAGAAAATATCGTAGATTCTAGCGTTCAATAGATCTATGTACTCTCTGGTTTTCTGGATTAAGATAATATAGAATATCGATCATTATTGACAGTACTTTATAAAATAATGGTTTTCAGCTTTTGGCTTTCTGTCTTTTCTCATGATAGCCTTCAATCTTTCTGTGAATATTGTCAGCAATAACAACAACAACTCTAATGCTAACAACAACAACAACAACAATAACAACAACAATGATAACAATAATAACAACAACATGAACATGAATATGATCGGTCGAAGCTTCAAGGACACATTTAGGTGAGTTAACTTTACTGAAATATTGAACATTTTTAATAAATTTTATAGCTATAATATATATTTATTGGCAATAATACTGAATATATAGATTTAATAAAACCTAAAGAGATACAGGGTGTCCCACGAAACATGACAGTTGGTAAATTGTTTTGAATGTCTTCTTCCATATACTGTATTATATATTAAAGACTTTTCGCAGTTCATTTCGTTTAACACTTATTTTACTCATGTATTTTTGCTTTGATATAAAGGAATTGAGTCTTTTTGCAACAAATCCCAATTTTTTAATACCTATATATCTACAACCAAATTATGTAAATCTTTGATATTTCAAACTTTGATTGTTTGATATAACAGAAGTCATAGCTTGAAATATCTAAGGTCTACAACGATTAAGTAACATTATGCCTAGTTCACTATGCCTAGTTCAAGAATGACTAGACAACATTATGCGTAGATTTCTGAATGCCTAGATAACATTATGCCTAGATTTTTGAATGCCTAGTTCATAATGCCTAGAGAACACAATGCCTAGATTCATGAATGCCTGGATAACATTATGCCTAGATAACATAAGAGTGCATTGAATGCCTAGACAATGTATTTCAAAGAGAAATAAAAATATTAAAGAGCGAGAAAAAAAACAATCCGGTAACATTTTTACAAAAATCCGCAAACAACTTTCAGAAAATATGTAGTAAATCATGTAAACATATCAGTATCATTTATTAATTGCTTGACAATGTCTATAGGCATTCAATTCAGTCTACTGTTATCTAGGCATTGGGTGACTAGGCATTATGAAATCTAAGCATAATGTTTTCTAGGCATTCAGAAATATAGACATAATGTTATATAAGCATTCATGAATCTAGGCATGGTGTTATCTAGGCAATGTTAACTAGGCATTACGAACTAGGCATTCATGAATCTAGGCATAGTGAACTAGGCATTCACGAACTAGGCACTCGGGAACTAGGCATAATGTTACTGAGCCTCTACAACATTGGGTTGTTAAGATATAGGGATTTAAAAATCAGAGTTTGTGGCAAAGACTCAATTCCTCTTACTATAGAATGACTCTCTTATATTATTTCTAATTATTCTAGCTTAGGTATCAAACAACTTAACAAAATATGGAAGAAAACATTTTAAACTATTTACCAACACTCATGTTTCGTGGGACACCCTGTACTTAAATATATAAATGGAACCACATTATGTGCAGGAATGGAACTAATAAAGATGAAACAGAAAACTGGAACATCTTAAAGTTCTTGTTCAGCCAGGATCTACCAGACAAAGGAGACCCGTGGAGCTTAGAGAACTTGGAGTTCCTTCTAGATCTTAATATTCCAGGTTTAACAATTCAAAATTAGCTTGGCAATTAATTGAGTTTTTGCCACAAACTCTGATTTTCTAATCCCTTTATCTTTGAAAGCCAATGTCGATTCTGTTAGATCAAATTATCTAAGTTTGAAAATCAAAGGGGTACATCTATCAGGTTGCAAATATATAAATGGATTCAAAAATCATAGTTTATGACAAGGGCTCAAGATTTATGTACTATAAACTTAAAAGTGGAAAGATACAAATTTTAGTTCTAAAATAAGAACCCTATATTATGTTTTGTATTTTCAAGGAACAGTATTTCTGCTAATTATAACTGAATAGAAATATCCAAATAGTTGATAAAAATAAACAAAATTTTAGGACTAACAGTCTCTAGTGAATCCAGTAGACCAGATTCAGAGTCAATGGTTCTTCATCCAATAGCAACATTCTGGGAAGCTGTAAATATTTCTCAGTTCAAACTGATCATCTTCATTCTAAACTTGATTAAAATAAATGTAAAATAAAAAGGAGTTTTTCAGTAAGTTGTATCAACAATTATTTCAGATTAAACTAAATCTGGAAAATATTCAGATGTGTGAATTTCAAAAGATATTTCCTAAATGTATTTTTTTTTATAGAATATACAATATAATACTAATTATAGCTGATAGAATTGATACCTAGCTAACAGCTGGGCCTGGAAATCCAAGGGTATGTAATCATTAAACCCAACAATAAATGTTTGGTACATTAGGTGTTATGCAACAATTAGATTAGAAATTAAGTAAAAAGAAAATTGGAACGGAAAATATAGAATGGTTTAAAAGAGAGAAAAAGTATTTTTAAGAGGCAATTATAGGAGGGGGGGGCTATGTGGGCTCAGCCCCCCTCCCACTGTGTCAGCATACTGTGTTTTTCAGTTGATTTTGGCCCCATCGGTTGCTGAATCGGGTGCTGAATGGTGAGCCCCCCTGGAAAAATTCCTGCATGTATTAACAAAGAACACTTCAGTGAAGAAAAATAGATTGATATCTACCTATACTTCTCTCCTCTTCTCATTTAAGTTTCGGTGCTATCTCATTTGGACTACTGCCGTTTGAACTATTGTTCATTTGAACTATTGTTCATTTCAACTACTGCACGTGGGACCACGTGAGTAGTTTAAATGAACAATAGTTCAAACGAGTAAACATATTGCTCATTTGAACTATTTTTTAGTTCATTTGAACTATTAAAATATTATTAATGAAATAAACAAAAAATAGTTCAAATGAACATAAAAATAGTTCAAATGAAAAAAAAATAGTTGAAATGAACAAAAAATAGTTCAAATGAACATAAAAATAGTTCAAATGGACAAAAAAAAATAGTTCAAATGAACAAAAAAATAGTTTAATTTGAACTATTTTTTATCTAACCTAACCTAACCTAACCTAACCTATTTTTTTTGTCCATTTGAACTATTTTTTAGTCCATTTAAACTATTTTTTTTTTTCATTTGAACTATTTTTTTCCATTTGAACTATTTCATTTGAACTATTTTCATGCTCATTTGAACTATTTTTATGTTCATTTGAACTATTTTTATGTTCATTTGAACTATTTTTATGTTCATTCTGTGTAATGTTTATCTAATTAATTGTCATGAATATAACTTTATGAAGATTATAAAAAAAATTTTAAAACTGAATTGGGGTAGAAAAATAGTTCAAATGAGCAAGAAATGCTTTGATTTAAACTACAGGATATGACGTCATGTCAGTAGTTCAAATGAACAATAGTTCAAACGAACAATAGTTCAAACGTACCATAGTTCAAACGGCAGTAGTTCAAATGAGAATCCACCATCTGGCACTGGATATTTGTTTCATACACAAGATAAATCTAAATGTCGTCTTTTGTGTTTTTTAAATTTTAATGCCGCGAAATTGTACACAGCTGTCAGGTTAGAATGTTAGATTGAAGTCGACGAGTTTGCAGACGAGACCATGGGTACTGGAATACCCATGAGGCGAGACACAGGATATTTCCTGGGTCCGTCCTAGGGGTCTGTCCTAGTATACGATTTTTGGAACCCCCCCTCCTATCAATTTTGTACATGACCATTTATTTTTCAGCAAATTTATTATTATTTATTTTTTTGTTATTTAGGGTTAGGTTAGGTTAAGTACTTTTGTCTCCATAAGATTATGAAGATATCTTTTTTTCTTCTAAAAATCCCAGTAAACATTTTAACAGACTATAAGTGCCGATGGCGAAGATGTCTGGTAAATGATTCTGGACTTAAAATGTTCGACATCGGTTTGCAGGGATTGATTTTTCAATTGCAGTTTGTCTGAAGGGTTTAAGATGGAGAATATTGAAATTAAAGAAGAGAGCCAGGAAGAAATCCTTCCCTCCTCTATTGTGGAGGATACATGTACAGTTTATATACAGGAAGAAGATGTTAAGGTGGAAATTACTGAAAATAAAGGTAAAAATTAACAAGCATATACTTATTATTGGTTGCTCTTTTCTTTTGAACTTTGTTTTCATTCATTTTCAAGAGTTTTATTGTTAATCGTGCTCTACAAAAAATTTTCCCCATTTTGGTAGGATTTAGGTTTTGCATGCTGCATTGTGAGGAAGAAATTAATGATTACTATTTTATTCAACAAAAGGGTAAATTACTTGCAAGTTGAATTCAATTGATCGTCGTTTGTTGAAGTTTTAAACGGCAAATCGAAAAAGTAATTTCTCTTGCTAATTTTTCAATTTTTGTTTATCTTCAGATTTAATCCTGTGTAATGAAGAAGAGACTCTTCATGGTAAGTCAAGTGAAACAAAGGAGAGGAATTTTAACGGAGGAAAGTATTCTTGTGATATATGTGATTATGCTGCAACTAAGAAAAGGGATCTGAAAAGACATATGGAAAGTAATCATGATAAAGTAAGGTATCCTTGTGATAAATGTGATCACGTTGCAACTAGAAAAAGGGATTTAAAAAGACATATAAAAAGTAAACATGAAGGAGTGAGATATCCCTGTGATAAATGTGATTTCGCTGCAACAACTAAAACGGATTTAAGAGAACATATTGAGAAAAGACATGAAGGTGTGCGATATCCCTGTGATAAATGTGAGTACACTGCAAATACTAAAAGGGATCTGCGTGGACATATTAAGAGCAAGCATGAAGGATTAAGATATCCCTGTGATAAATGTGATTATGCTGCAACTAGAACAGGTCATCTCAGACAACACATTAAAAATATACACGATGGATTGAGATATCCCTGTAATAAATGTGAACATACTGCAACTTCAGCAAGCAATCTTACAACACATATTCATGAGAAACATGAACCAGGAAGATTTCCCTGCGATTTATGTGAGTATGTTGCAGCAAGAAGATTCACTCTGAAGAGGCACAAGAAGACAAAGCACGAAAATTAATTCTGTTGTCCTTTGCACAACTGAATGTATAATGTACAACTTAATATTTTTACTGTTTGAAATATCTTTCCAGAGGTTAACATGGATTCTAAAAGTGGCATCAAAAAGTCATGAATGTAACGGATTTTATCAGTTTTGGGATGTAAAACATTTGACGCAGCAAGAGAGTATTGTAACTCAAATTAAAGAATGGATTCCAAAATTTTTTTAAGTTTTAGTTAACACTGGTTAATAGCAATATCCCCCTCGACTCTCGCCTTGACGTAAACATGACCTAGATACTCATAGAATTTTCCTGAGGGGGGTTGAGAACTTCAATCATACATTAATTTAAAAAGTTACTAAATTCCAATGATAAAGCAACGTTGTGTATATGCGCTAACAAACGGAAGAAAATTCGCAATTCACATACAATTTTTTTTATTCTCTAAATACGACACCAAATTTTTGGGGTTATTTCTATGTATAATGCATTTTCAAAATTTATTTTTGCATTCAAGGTTTTAATTTGCAGAGAGTATGGCCGGAAATTTGAAAGAGGAAATAATAATGGAAAATATTGAGAATAAGAAAGAAACTGAAGACGAAATCCTTCAATTCTCTACTGTAGAGGATGCATGTACTGTATATATAAAGGAGGAAGATGTAAAGATGGAGATTACTGATATTCAATTTTAGAGATACGTAAATGATATTTTCTAACAACATAAAAATAAGTCATGATTGTAATATCTTTAGTCATTTTCCCTCATTGATAAATATAAATGTTTAATTTTTCATTCCCTCATTTCTTATCACTCCTATCTTCATTCATTCTGGTCTTCTCTTATTTGCATTGCTTTTTTATTGGTTCAATTACTATCCATATTATTTTTTATTTTTTGCTCATCTATATATAAATTTGGCTTGTCTGTCTGTTTGTCTGTCTGGGTGTCTGTCTGTCTGTTTGTATCCAATAAACGTCAAAACGGCTGAACCGATCGGGCCCAAATTTTTTGTGGGACATATAGGGACCCCAGGGAAGGTTTATGAATGATTGAAATTTTAAATATTTGTCTCCATAAAAATTCGATCTTCATTAAATTTTTTATAATTTTGAAAATCCACGAATTTTTTTGTGAAAATCCGCGAATTATTTTTGTTTTGTTTTACGATGTGCACAAAGAGAACATGTTCACAATTAATATAGAAGATGGGCGCGAAGCGCCCTCTAAGGCTAGTTCTTTTATATTATTACAGCTCATATTTATTCTTTTTATTTATTTATACAATATTTTATTAAAAAAGTAACACTATGTAATCTTCGTTATCAAACTAATGTATTTTATAACTAATTATATTGTGTTAATAAAAATATTTAGATCTAAAAAAGAAATACAAAACTAACAATCTTACAAGATACATACATATTCCTGAAAAATTAAATTAAATTAAACAAACAAACTCTGAATTTCTAATTTCAATATCGTTGCAACCCAATGTCATAGACCTTTAATATTTCAAACTATGAATGCGTAAGTTTGAAATATCAAAGGTTTACATCATAAGGTTACAGAGATATAGGTATTACAAAAACTGAATTTGTGGCAAAGACTCAATTCCTTTCAACTCATATTTTTCATTGACCTTGATTTTTTCACTTCTACATTTAATTCTTAAACTGATCCAACCTATGATGATCATCTTAGGTACTTGGTTCAACGAACTTTAAAAACCAAAGAGGTTTTAAGAATAAGTTTCATAATTTGCTAGTTTCTTAATTCAAATTAGAGCTAGGATGTAGATGTATAGTATTCGCCCGTATACGGGGACTCCTACAAAAATTACATTTATTTATATATAAAAAATATATTGTTAAGGGTGAAATAGTAAACCATAAAGAGGACCCTCTGCTTATAAGGAATAAAATGATGGAACCAATTGGAAATAAACCTGAAAAAACATACTGAGAGGAAACATGAAGGAGTAATGTATTCTTGTGATAAATGTGATTTCGCTACAACACATTCACGTAGTCTTAGAAGACATATTAAGTGTAAATATGAAGAAGTGATATATTCTTGCACTCACTGTGAATACGCTGCAACCACAGCCAGATATATTTAGGAATAAACATGAAGAAGTGAGATTTGATTGCGGCAAATGTGAGTACTCCGCATTTACAGCAAGTAATTTAAGAAATCATATGAAGACTAAACATAAAGAAGTAAAATATCCTTGTGATAAATGCCAATACTCTGCAAGTTCAGCAGGTCTTCTTAAAAGACATATTAAGATAATACTTGAAGGTATAAGATATCCCTGTGATCAATGTGAATTAGCTGCAACCTCCGCAAGTTGTTTAAAACAACGTGTTGAGAATACACAAGAAGGAGTGAGGTACCCTTGTGATAAATGTGCACACGCTGTAACCACATCAAGTGCCCTTAAAGTCACAAAGTGCATATCGAGAGTAAACATGAAGGAATTAAAAGACATCCTTGTCATAAATGTGATTATGCTACGACTAAATTACACCAGCTCAGGAAACACTTGGAGTAAACATTAATAAAAAAAATAAATATTTGCGGCCATATACTCTTCAAAAATGTTGTGTTTGAGAGAGTGTACTATTACAATTTAACCTTATTTCTTCTTGCAGAGAGAATGTTCAGAATTTGAGCCGCGGCTCAAATATGGTTGGTTCCACTTAAAATTGTATTAAATTTTTCAAGATTTAAGCCGGCGCTCAATTGAAACCGGTTTTTGGGGGATTTGAGACGCGGCTTAAATTCGTTAAATTCGGACACAGGTTGAAATAACTGACACAAAAGGTAGATCGTCAAATTTTCCATAAACAAGTTTTTGAGAAATTGTTTTTCTATTATAATATATGCAGTGAGTACGCAGCAACTGCGGCATGGAGTTTTCAAAAAAACAATTGGCCGTAAACTCAAAAAAGTGTAAAACCCACAACTTGTTACGTTTTTTCTAGTTGGTTAGTGCAGTGTAACTTAATGTTTCATCTGTTAAACTTTTGTCATTTTCTTCTGAACTATTTTTTTTAATGTTCAGTTGGATTGTTTAAGTTCGTTTGAAGTATTTTTAATCTTTGTTTGAAATATTTTTATTGCCTCTAGTTACATTGATGTTCTTACTTTTCATTTTATTTTTCATCTTTAGCTCCTTCGTTCTTTTTTTAAGATCTTATTATTATAATTTGAACTATTTTTAGACCCTTCAAAAAGACACGTCATTGAATAATTTGCAAGTTTTACTTTATTTACAATGAAATACAATATTTCAGAGAGATTGACCGGAAACCAGAGAAAAGAAATTAAAATGGAAAATATTAAAATCACAGAAGAAATTCTCCCCTCCTCTACTGTAGAGGATACATCTACTGTAGAGGATACATGTACTCTAGAGGATACATGTACTGTAGAGGATACATGTACTGTTTATATAAAGGAAGAAGATGTAAAGGTTGAGATAAGTGAACCTAATCCAGGTAAAATTCTAAAATATAATTTAAATATTAAATTTCCTTGCATTGAATTCTCAACAAGAAGAATTTTGAAAATATTACATCTACTGAAGGCAAAAACTATGATATTTTCTTTTACCAAACCGAGAAATCAATTACGCTAGATTAATTAAGTACATTTTACCTTAAATCGATGATCAAAACAGGGGAGAAAATCGATGATCAAAAAAGGACAAATAATGGAAATGAATCTGTAATTTTCTCCTCTCATGTCTCTAATATGTAACTTTAAAGAATTGGAAACCTGCTATAATGTTTGATTTATTTATACAGTAAAGATAACACTCAGGGGATATGGTACAAAAATATTAAAAGATAAAAAATATATAAAACAAATATAGATTTTTTAGTTTTGCCTAAAAGGGACTGTAAACGTTATTTAAGGTAACTCTCCAGTCT